TTTTTGTATGGTCATTTTTAATCATTTAACACACAACACCACCAGCAGATATTTCTAGAGGAATACTACGTTTCTTTCACCTTTTAAGCTTCTGTCGTAGACCATCAAATGTGATATGAAGTCAGGCTGGTCCATTATTAGTATAGGTATGGCTTTAAAAAAACAAATCTGTCATAGAAGGTACCATTTTTGGTGCTGATGTAAAACTTCCATTCAGGAAACATTTCATGAAATTTAAAGGCAACAAGTCAAAAATTGATAAAAGGAAATATTTCCTTTACTTGATGCATAATTAACCTATACAATAATTCTTTTAAAACATTAAACAGGGAAAAATTAGTGAAAAGAATAATAATATATAAAGATAATGAAAGATGATTAATTATACTGGGTTTGAAAATATTTTTATAAGGAATATAAGTCTTCATGCTTCAGGGCATAAGCCAATTTATAACAGATGTTAGTTCAGAATAAATTCTTCCCTATGGATAAATTATTCCAGAATTGTCCACTTTGGGGTTTCATATATTCTTTTGGTAGACTCATTTGGAACTGACAGATTGGCATGACCCTGATTTTCAGTGCTACTTCATAAAAGCGCTACTCCATGTGAGTAAGGGCTGAGAAATCTTGTCTGCAAGTGGAAATTGACAGTGGCATTTGTGTACTGTTGTTATTTTTTCATGGAAACATCTCTTTCCCCATTAAAATAAACACTATTGCAGTTAGTGAGGGGTGTACTCTGCTGAAGGCGTACTTTCATTATCTGTGACTTAAAATATTTGGAAAAAATCATCTTCATAAACATTTTAGAATCTGTTTTTCTCCTATGGTGCTCTTTTGTACCAATGCCCTAGTTATCTTTTTGTCAATTTTAATTTGAGAAAATGACCAGAGAAATGCAAAAAAGGATGGCCTTTTCATATCTTTTAAATTATTCATTGTCAAGTTTTCTATTTGAAGGGCAATTTACTGCTTGTTAAAACAGGGCCTGTGGTACTTGTTATAGTGCAAACTAGTTTTACTTCTGAGATTTACAGAGCAGTCACTAGGAAATCATTATACAATGTTTTGAGCCATTATGACTACACAGTTTGTATAAATAACTTCAAGGTCATCCATATATAATTTCCCCACTCCCAAAATGGTCATATATAATGTTAGCTTAATCCAACATAGGCTGTTATTTTTTTGATCAGCAAGCTCAAGGAACAGACATAAATGAATGCTCTTTGTTCCAAATGATTGCTCATGCTGATAAGGTTTATAGTTTTCTTAATGAAAGAAATGAATCTGTTGCTGTTGAACTATGAAATAATGGTATGGGATAATGTAACAAAAGACTTGCGAGCATAAGTCATGTCTCCATGCTTAAATTTATGTTGAACACTGTAGCTAAAGCAAAGGTTCAAACTTTTTGCTGCGTATAGGAATTTCAGCATATCTTCCCAGACTGTCTAGTGCTTACTCCTTGCGTATACAATGCTTATATTTTGAGGATTTGAGTAAATTCACTAAAACTGAAATTAATCCATGAAAACGGAACATTTAAGAACTATAAAACGTGCATAAAATCTCTGTAATTTTCATGACAGATCTTAACAGAATAGCAGCGATTCAGATTTCTCAAGACATTTAGTCATTTAAATTTGCACTTAACTGTGCTTGATTTTGTTAATTTTGTTTGAGTTTTTTTTTCTGTGGTAAATGAAGTCTTCAGGGCCAGGAATGACATGTATTCCTCAGTAGGAACTAAAGAACAATACTCCACTACAGAGGATTTCATGCACTTTTTGTGCTCACTTTGAAAATGACTGCCTTCCCTCTTCTCAATGGAAATGAAGCCACAAACTGCTGTCAGGTGGCCATTTTGAAGAGGTTAGCTGTATTTTGTTCTCAGTAATATCGAGAACATCTTTTGTAAAGCCTGACAGAAACGGGATCAACATCTTCACTTTTACTTGGGAAGTGCTATATGTTTGAAATAATGACTTCAGTGCCACTGAGAACAATGAACATTTTTTCAGTTTCAGTAGCAGGTCCAGGAATGGGGCAAGAACGGTGTGGCCTCACCCACATCCCCTTTGGCTTCGCTGCACACGTGCTAATCGCTTCTCAGCCTTTCGGCTTAGATCAGGTGTGAACTCTGAGGGCCCTGCATTGCTGCACCCCTCCCTTGGACCACACCTGTTTAGTTTGGAAGTTTCTCTGTAGGAAGATATAATTTTGTACTGATAGCTAAACTTTCAGTTATACCAGGGGTGGGCAATTATTTGGGTTACTGGGCCACTTAATACATTTTGGTGACCTGTCAAGGGCCATACCTGTTTGTCTGCCTGTCTCTCGCTCTCGCTCCAATTCTCACTCCCACTCCCACCTCTTCTCCCTCCCCTGTCCCTCCTTCCCAGAGCTGCAGCCAGTGTGGCAGCCCGACCCTGCTTGCAGCTTTAGCGCACCTCCACTCTGTGCCTGGAGTCCACCACCCACAGCTTTAGTGCCCTTCCCTCCCCACTCCAAATATAGACCTGGCAGCTCCCCACCATGTCCACAGCAGCCCAAACACAGCCAGCAGCTTCTGGGTCAGGGCTTCAAGCATGGGAGAGAGAAGACAGGGCATGCTACAGATGCTGGCTGCCACAACCAAAGAAGTCTGTACCCACCTGCAGCTGCAGCACACACTCTCTGCCCCCCTGTGCCTGAAGCCCTGACCTGGAGGCTACTGGTTGCATTTGGGCAGCTGTGGATGCATCTGGTACCTGCTGGGTTTGGACTTGGAGAGGGAGGGGGACTAGCTGGGACATGCTACAGCTACAGACAGGTGCATGCTTCCACTTCTGCTTTGGTGGCAGCCCAGAGAGAGAGTGCTCAGCATACTGGAAGCAGCTCCAGCCACCAGGCACCATGTGGCTGCTGGAATCACCATATCCATCAGTAACCTAGACTGAAATGCATTTCAGGCATTTTATATTTTGCAGAAAGCTAAGAATTAAAAATCTAGGACATTTGGAGTTAAGATTAAAAAAATACAACTATAGAAAGGGCATGGCTTTAGAAAATTATACTATAGAAAGAGCACCCCAAAAATATGCCTTGTGTTTAGTGACACATGAGAAAATCTATTATGTTTAAAAAATCAGTTTAATCTAATCTAGTACTGCTAACACCAAAACACCTTTATTATGTTCAGACAACTATTGTGTTGTGTCACTATAGCATGAAACTAAAATTACTTAATTGCCACACTACAGTCATATGCATAACCCCAGATTACTGATATATACTTGCAATCTTAGGATCACTGGATCATAGGAAAGTAGGGCTGTAAGGGACCTCATGGGCATGTCTGCACAAGCATGAATATTTGGTTCCCTGGGGACAACTAGCAGCGGGACACTGTGTGCTGCCACTAGATATCCCTGAGGAACGCCTATGCCATGTGTCCTCTGGCACATGGCAGGTTACCCTGGGTGGGGTAGAGGAGGCTGAGGCCAGCACTGGGCTGGCCTCAGCAGCCTTGCCTGGGGTCCTGGGGGCCTCCTGGAACTGCAGCAGCAATGATCCTGCTGCTCAGAGCCTAGCTGGCAGCTGGAGTATGCCTCTAGCTAGCCAGGCTCCGGTTTTGAGCGGCATGTGTTGCTCCTGCATGTGCCACTCTGCTTCTTTTTTTCTTTTTGACAGTTTTTTTGACCCCTGGATATACTCTGTGCTGCTCCCCTGCAGCGCTGAGAACAGCTGAATGTTCAGTATGTGATACCGCAGACTTGGCTGTGGTGTCACATTCCATATGGTTGCGCTCATCTGGACATGGCCCATAAGGTCGTATAGTCCAGCCACCTGCTCAAGGCAGGATCATCCCTTACTAAACCATCCCAGCAAAGTGTCTGGCTAACCGGCTTTTGAAAGTCTCCAAGTGCAGAGATTCATGACTTCTGTAAGTAGACTGTTCCAATGCCTGACCTCCCTCATGGTTAATGAGTTCCTCATAATCTCTAACTTAAATTTCCCTTGATGAAGCCCATCTCTATCCCTTGTATAATCACCTTACAGGTATTTTAAGACTAATATCAAATCCTCTTTTAGTCTTCTCTTCTGTAGGATTAATAACCCTAGCTCTTTCAGCCTTTCCTCGCAAGTCTTGCTTCCCAGGCCCCTGATGATTTTTACTGCCCTGTGCTGTACTCTTTCCAGACTGTCCATATCCTTCTTGAAGTGTGGGGCCCAAAACTGGACACAGTACTCCAGGTGAGTCCTCACCAATGCTGAATAGAGTGGAAGAATTACTTCCCTGGATTTGGAAGTGATACTTGTGTTAATACCGTCCAGGGTGTTAGTGGCCTTTTTTTGCAACAAGAGCACTCTGTTGGTTCATATTCAGCTTATGGTCCACCTTAACTCCCAGGGTCCTTCTTTGAAGTAATGCAACCTGGCCAGTCATTCTGCAGCTGTAGTTGTGCATACAGTTATTCTGTCCCAACTTCAGGACTTCACACTTGTCCTTGTTGAATTTCATATGGTTGGTTTTTACCACTTCTCCAGTCTAGCCAGGTAATTCTGGATCCTGGCTCTGCCCTCTTGAGTGACCACAAATTCACTCAACTTTGCTAAGTATCCACTTGATCACATCATCCAAATGATTAATGACGATGGTGAACAATACTGGACCCAGGGCAAGCCTCTGAGGAACCCCACTTGGTACCTTCTCCCAACTAGATATTTAGCCATTGAGGACTGCTTGCTGAGCACAATGATCCAAACAGTTATCTACCTTGCAGTACTTTCGTTTAGTCTATGTTTCCTTGGTTTGTTAGTGACAATGTCATGGAAGACAGTGTCAAAAGGCTTGCTATAGTCAAGATATTCCAGGTCCACTGCTTTCCCCTCATCCACAGAGCCTGTTACTTTATTATAGAAGGAAATCAGATTGGTCAGGCATGACTTGCTCTTGGTGAATCAATGCTGACTGTTTCTGATCATTTTGTTCTCTTTTAGGTGTTTCCCAGCAGATTCCTTGGGAACCTGCTCCATGATCTTTATGGGTATCAAGGTCAGGCTGACTGGTCTGTAATTCCCCGGATTGTCCTCCTTCCCTTTCTAAAAAATAGGCACTATATTTTCCCTTTTACAGGCATCTGAGATCTCACCCATCCTCCATGAGTTCTCAAAAAGGATAGCTCATAGCTCTAAAATTACTTCAAGCAATTCCTTTGATACCCTGGATGCATCCCATCCTGCTCTGCTTACTTGAAAGCATCTAGCTCAGGGGTGGGCAGTTATTTTGGCTGGAGGGCTGCTTAGTGAGGTTGGGTGAGCTTTCAAGGACCACATGGGTAGCTCCTTGACAATTTCCTGGCCCCCTGGTCACCATCTTGGGACTGGAAGTCCCGTCCTTAACCCCTGACTTCTACCACCAGAAGTCCCACCCCTTACCCCCCAGAAATACTCTTTTTTTGGGGGGGTGCCATCTTAGAACCAGAACCCCCCCCAAATCATACACTAAAAGTCGAACTTCTACTATAACATTTTAATTTTATTACAAAAAATATTTTTGTCATGATTTGTGTTTGCGTAGTGTAAATAGAGGTGCTTGCGTAATACCTCAAAAATAGTCTTAGTCTTGTATATTGTGGGGGGGGTTTGCGGGGTGTATGGTGGTATGTGTGTCTGTATTTATGGTGGGGGTGTGTGTGGGGGGGTTGTGATGGGGTGTTGCTGTGTGTGGGGACAATAGGATATGTTTGGGGGTGTATATATGGGGGGTTGGGGCAGGGTGTGGGTTTGTGATGTTTATGGGGTATGAGGGAGGGTAGGAGAGTTTAGGAAACCCCCCCCACACTCCCCACATGGCATGCAGCTCCTCAGGGGGCAGCAGCAGCAGCAAGTGGGGGTGCTTGGGGTGCTCATGGCCAATGCAGGTGCTGGTGCCTGGTGGTGCGCAGTTCCAACCAGTGCTGCAAACTGCGGTGAGGAGCACAGTCCCTGACGGGTCACCTCTATTGCAGGGGTTCCCTGCTACACATGGGCAGTCCCCACACTCGCATGCTACTGGAGGGAAGCTCCATGTGCTGGAGCCAGTTGCCTTCACCACTCCCTGCTGCGCAGGTCCTGGGACTCCACCGGAAGGAGCCCCTACCCCTGCTTCTCCATGGAGGTGCCAATTACATCATAATTCTGTGGCTTTACTAGGACCTCCAGTTCTTCCTGTTTGTTGCCCATACTTCTCACATTAGTGTATAAAAATTTCAAGTGACTAACCAACTTTCCTGTCCTCTCCTTGAGAACAGTGCTAAAGTTTCCATTATTGCTTCCTCTAACCAAGTTTTTATCCAGATCTCCAGGGTCTTTATTTACCTCTGGGCTTTCGTCTCCATCCCCCAGTGAACCTAGTTGACAGGTCTCATCACTAGGTTTCAATGTCTGTATGCAAAATCATTCTTCCCTCCCTTCGTGAGGTGGACCCTATCTCTTCCTAGCAATCCATCTTTCTGGAACACTACCCCATGGTTAAAGAAGCCATAACCATCTTGACTTACTTTTAGTGTTTGTCTGGTAATATTGCATAAGCAGAGGGAGGCAGTATTAAAGGTTCATATACAGCGGTAATGAATCTGAAAGTTCTTAACATTTTTTTTGTTTTCAGATATTGACTAGGTTGTCCTTTTTCACAAACACAGGAAATTGACTTTTATAAGTAACATACCTTCAGTGGAAACCTTCATAATTTTTGAAGGTGTCCCGGGGCCTGAGGAAGCCGGGAAAACTTACTTGGAAGGCAGGACAAGAGAGACGCCGCGATGGAGGGAGAGCCCGCACGGCTCGTTAGCTGCGTCTATGTGCAGCTGCGGCCGGCAGCTGACGATGATGTCAGACACCGGCTGGTGGATTTAAAAATGGTGGCTGCCACTCTGGAGGCAGCAGATAGCAAGGGGAACAAACGATGGTCTGAGCCAGCCACGACACTAGCTCCACGGAACGGACAACGAAGAGCCAGCGTGCCGGAGAGGACGGTGGCCCGGAGAGAAGGAGCCACGACTGGATCGCTGGTGGATAGAGCCCGAAGTGCCGGATCGGGTGAGCTAAGGAAGATTGAGACCACCCCGGAGGATCCAGAGCACCCAGAAGTAAGTGCCGAGGCAGTGGGTGCGGGAATCGCTGAAGAGGGGCGAGAGGCCGAAGGATCACCTGGCGGGAGAGAGAGATCGGGGCGGGATCGCCGCTGAGAGTAGAGGACGCCGATTGAAGGATAAGGGGAGCAGCACTAAATAGCCAGGAGGCGTTACTCCCGGGCATGAGCATAGGGTGCTGGTGGTGGGTCAGCGAGGTACTCGGTACAGTAGAGCTCCTTTGAGGAGGCACGTAACCCATTGGGTGTAGGGTGATGGGTCAGTGGTGAGGTATCTATGTAGTAGGGCTAAGACACCAATACAGGCTGGTGCAAAGGGTCCGACATCAGGGCGGGAGTGACCCAAGGGATTTGGGGAAACGCGACGACGAAGGCTGCTATAGAAGCCTGCAGGACCATCACTGAGCAGGCATGGGGAAGTGGAGGCCACAGGTGGTGTGAGGCTGGGGTGTAGGAGTGGCAGGAGCCCCGTGTGTAACTGACGAGACAGACCTGGGCCACCGAGGGATCCGTGAACTAGCCCCGCCCCACTAGTGTAACAGCAAGTCGTGGCAGGCGAGAGCGGGGTTGGCGACTCGGGAAGACGAATGACCACGGTAAAACCCACGCCCGGAAAAGGGAGTAGTCACCGACACGGAAAGCTAGCCTCATAGTAGCGACTCGCGAAGGCCCGTCGGGGACAGAAGGTTACCCAATTTGCCATAAAGAAATCTTGAAATTCTCTCTCTAATTTTTGGTGCTCATATGTTGGTAACTCTGTCTCCCTTGCTCACTAATGTATTGCCCTTCCTCTTTGAATCCCTCTCAAGATTTAGCAGTTTTCACTCCTTTGTAGTTTTATTTTTCTAGTTTACTTTCAGACCTTTGACTTTGGATGAGCTTTGAATCTAAGCCATTTCCCTCCCCTTTTTCGCCTTGGCCATTTAAGTCCCATCTAAAGACATTTCCTTTTTAATACCTTCAGGTAAGTTGCATTATCCATTTAGGGGAGCAGGGAACCATTCTTATTCCTGTCTTTGGGTCACTGAGTGAACCTTGTTATCATTTTTGGTACCTTGGACTGCAAATTTTTCAGGACTGAGATTATTTTAACCTTTTCCTGTATACTGCTGAATTCATGAATGCAGGGTTGGTGCTTTCCAAAAATATTTATTTGACAATATCAGAATTTAAGGCATTTTAAATTGTTTACAGATCCATTTTCAGTTGAGGGCAATCATTAGCTTGAATTTGACTGCTTAATGCTTTAATTTAGGTTTTCATTAAAAATATATTTATTTAATATAAATATGTGCCAAGTTAAATACCTTAAGTTGCATAAGGGGTGTGAGAGGATATTGTGAAGTACTCATTTTTTAGCTTAAATGTTTACAATGAAGCTTAACAAACACTTCTGCTGTCAAACAAGCAAATCTCCTTTCCAGATCTCATGAGACAGTTACCAAAGGTAAATTCACTCTGGTTTCAGAGAAATGGTACTAGTGTTCCCATTAACACATCTTCAAAACAGCTCTCATGATTATTTTTGATGGCCCATGTCTTTGGTAACCATGTGTGACAGAAGTATCATTATCGGAGCCTTTTTGAGAGTGACTCCACCCTCCTGTAATGGGCCAACCGCCTGCTTACTCGCCTGCCATGCCTTGATCTTAATTAATTAATTGATTGGTGTAATCAGTGGGAGGCTGCCCATTTTATGTGCCCTGGTGCCAGGGGCACTACCTGCGGCTCCTTTCCTCCCCTACACCACAGCCCAAGCCTCTCAGATGGAACTGACCTGGTTTGACCTAGGCCCTGTTATGCTTTGGCCTTCTCCTTTTCCTTCTGGGGCCCCTCACTACTGCCCCATGCTCCGGGGTTACTCACCACCCTGGGGGTTCCTCACTGCCCCCTCTCTCACTCTAGGGCTTCTTGCCACCCCTTCTCGCTCTGGGGGTTCCTCACCGCTCCCTTCTCGCCCTGGGGGTTCATGCTTCCCCCTCCCATTCTGGGGGTTCCTCACTGCCCCCTCTCTCGCTCTGGGGCTCCTCACCACCTCCTTCTCGCTCTGGGCTGGGATCAATGCACCCGACCCCAAACCACTGCACCCTTTTTGATGCCAGGGCCACCCAACACTACTGTGGAGCTCCTATGAGGCCTCCTCCGACCCCTTATAGCCGCACCCGGTCCTCCGGTCAAAAATGGTAAACACAAAAAAAACACGAAGCCCCTAGGCTATAACATAAAAGTAAACTGTCTGGTCAAACCCGACATTCTAGCCTTACTGGGAAGAAATACTCCCCCTTATGGCAGCAGCCCAGGGATGTTCATGCAGTCGCTCCTTTCCTTTCTCTCTGCCCTGGTAGAGCTCCCCCCTCCTTGGCTGCCAGAGGGGAACTGCCCACCTGTCCCCATGTCTGGGTTTAAGAAGGGCCAAGCCCTGCCCCTTCCTGTCAGCTAGTTCCCTTGGTTGCCCTAGCAACCAGCACCTGGGCTGCCCTGGTGACTGACAGTTGGGCCTCCCCCTTCTCACCACTAGGGGTCCCTCTGAGCCAATTCTGCTTTTAGGTGCAGAGCACCCGAGTGCCCTGCAACACCATGTCATACAGTGGCTACTGTGTTTTTCTCAGACTAAATATAATAAATATTGATATGAAAAATGGGTACAGCCAATGGGCTCTACGATATTTTCTGACATGACATTTATATAAATCAAAGTTAAGAATCTTTGCCTTTGGTGCTCATTAGTACTTTTTAAATTGCCAGTCTCAGCATTGCAATCAAAATATAAAATGTTCAAGTATGTGCTTAATCAAAATAGAAATGTCTTGTGCATGACTTTTGATTTCCATTGTTTATCAATACTGAAACTCACTAATTACATATAGAAAATGTAATTATATGAGAGCCGC